CCGTGTGTTCCTGAGTGTGGGGCCCAAGCCCCGCACCCAGAGAATGGGAGGGTCCTTTGGGAGAGTGTGGAAAGAATTCAACCCACACACCGAAGTCAGAGTCCAAAGGAGAGTTTATGGGAAAAGGGGTCACACTCCACAGAGCGTGGTCTCCGCTCAGAGGCAGAGGGACAGGGGCAGTGAGAGAGAGACACGGTAAAGGTGTGCTGGCTGGAAAATCACTGCTTGGCTATCGCCCATGGGAACATGGGTCATCACCTGTGGGAACACCACATTCTAACAATATCTGTCCCCGCCACTTGCACACCCGACCTGTGGGTTGACAGTTAGTAAATAGAAGAAAAATAGACTTTTGTGTTCAGACGGGATGAGGAATGGGGTTTACGGCGTAAAAACCCTGTACCCCTACATTTCGGGGCTGCTTAATTTCGGGCCTGCGTACCCCTGGCAGACCCAGCTGTCTGAATAAAGAGTGTGTTTCCTATAACTCACTGGTTTCTGGTGGTCCGTGTGTCTCTCAGGGGCTGGCGGCTACAACAAAGGCACTGAGAGGGACCCCGAGTGCTCGGGGACCCCAGTTTACACATCGTCCTTTCGTTCCTGAGTTACAGTTTACAGACTGTTTCCCCGTTTCCTTCGCTGTGGACACGCGGTGAGGAAGGGAGCGAGGATGTGGGTGGAAAGGTAAGAATGTGGAGCGAGAGAGGCACAGTTTACAGACTCTGTTTCCCCGTTTCCTTCGCTGTGGACACGCGGTGAGGAAGGGGGCGAGGATGTGGGTGGAAAGGTAAGAATGTGGAACGAGAGAGGCCTGCTGGCCGTGCCCAGCCTTCGACGCGTGTGTCCCGTGGTTTCGGCCGCAGAGAATGACTCTTGGTCCGTCTCCTCTTCAGGGTGTGGGGAATGGACCATTGGTGACCCCAGCAGAAGCCTCCCTTTGTCCTGCGGGCGTCCGCCTGAGGGGCTGTGGGCTGCAGGGCTGACCCGCATGGAGCCGTCTCTGCGTGAGGCTTGTTGAGCATTTTAATTCTCTTGCCTCCTCCCGACACTACTTCGGGTTGTTTTTTGAATTATTTCAATTGCCGCAGCTTCAGACCTATGCCCCCCTTGAACGTTTTAAGTTAGTCTTTGTTTCTAAGCTGGTCTTCCCGTTTTCCTTCCATTTCTTTCGTTAATTTGCTCAGTTCTCATTTCCTTTGTTTTGTTTTTTGCCTGTTTTTGTTTTGAGGTTCTGAGTTTCTGATGCGAGGGTTTCTTTTTACGCCTTCGAATGTTTTAATTCGGGTATCAGAGATGTGTCCTGCTTCGTAGCCGGTGTTCTGGGACACCTTCATTCACGGAAAGGTGTCGTTCGCATCCTTGTTTCTCTGCCGTGCGGCCCTGGCCCTGCCCCTGCCCCTGCCCCAGGTGGACGTGCCGTGAGTGCGACAGCTGCGCATGTGCGGGCCTCGCGGGCCCCGGGCCCCCAGGTCGCCCTCTTCTGGCTGCACAGCGAACTGCAGCGTCAGGAGCGTGGCGCCCCTGCCGCCCGGGTCTGGGGGCGCTGGGAGGGCGCGGTGGGTGTCCTCCAACAACACCACGATTCTTTTGTTCCGAAGCACGTAATTGCCCCTTCGCCCTTTATTCTTTCCTTTTGCCCCCAAGCCTCAAAGGGTGTCACCCCTCCCACTGGTCAACTCCCCAAGAAGGGATGCATTTCCGACTGCCCCGCTGGGTCCCCCCACACTCTCAAGGGTCGCCAGCAGCCAGTCCTCTGACCGCCGGCTGTCAGTCCAGCTTCCCGCGTCCCACGCGGGTGCCGGGCCGGTCTTCTCTTTCTGATGGTGGCTTTTGTCCGCGTCCGCCACACTCCTCACTTTCTTGGCCTCTCCAGTGACACCCACTGTCTGCAGAGCAGCGGCCCACGTCCCAAGACAGCTCTGCCAGAGGTTCACGTTTTGTTTTTCTACGTACAGATAACTGACGTGTGGTATCGCTGAGCCGAGGCCACAGGAAGGCGGGGGCGGGGCAAGGGCCTCAGCGATCTGCGGTACTTTTCTTACTAGAAAGAGTAAATCGATTTGGATACAGGCAGCCGAAATTACCCCAGGGCAGCCCAGAACTCGGCGGAGTGTTTGAAGCGTTTAAGGCTCTAGATTTATTTTTGCTGGTGTCTAGAGATACAGTTGGGTTTTCTAGACTGATCTTATAGCCCCTGACCTTCCTACATTCATGCGCTCATTTGCTCTGAATGCCAGTCATGATGTCCAAGAGACAAGAGGCTGATTTGTCATTTGAGCTGCGAGCTCCTTTTCAGGGACAGAGTGAACGGAAGGGGCGTAACAGGGGATGCGCTCAACGGGTACGGCCTG